CGTCGCACTTAATTCTTGCATTAGATTCGGCGCATGAGAAGTTCGCCGTCTAAACCGGGCCTAAGTTAGTCCATTATGAATGCAATGATCTTTATTTCATTGTGAATCTGCGATAGCTTTTATAGCTTTTACGTTACATGAAATCAAACAGAGTCCGGTGTTTTTCGGGACACCGGTATACAATTTGATAATTAATCAATTTTAAGATTGACCTTTACGGCAGAAAAGGTCGATCTTTATTCCTTTATTAGCTATTAAAAAGTAGCTAAATCATAGTCCAATTTTTATGCACAAGTTGCTCACTTGCTCTAACTTCGAACAGCTAACAGTTGACTTGCGGTTAGCGGTTTGCCGTAAACGTCAATCTTAAAGTCCCTAATAATGCTAATATATATAATACGTCGGCTGAAATAAAACGTATTGAACCGTGATTGAACGAAACGCGATCCAAATGACAACTTAATTTGTTTGGGATCAGATTAACCGTAACTCCTTTACATCTTTCAAACGTTGGGGCTTAACTCGAAGAAAAAATGTTTGACTTTGCTCGAGTTAAGCCCCTATTTTCTAGAGGGCTTAACTCGAAGTACCTAACTCCAGTTATGTACTTCGAGTTAAGCCCTCAACGGAAATGGGTGTGGCATGGGCGTGGTCCGGGCTTAGCTCGAAAGGGCGTGGTCGGGGCTTAACTCGAAGGGCTTAACTCGAGGGGCTTAACTCGAAGATTTGCTACCCCGTTTGTCGTTCGTTCGTTCGATCATTCGGGTCGCATTTTCTGACGTCACAGAATTCGAATGACGTTGTGTACAAATTTATATACGCAGGAAGTTTACGATGACAATCCGATCACTTCCGAAAGATGCGTTCGGTGCGCCGTAGCTTCATAGGAGCTATGACATTTAATTTTGACATGACCATATGGCAATGTCGCATATTTTTCCATTGCACGAGGCTTATTTCACAATATTACTAATTGATTTGGGAGGAAAACTATCAAAAGAATCATATTTTTGAAGGTATGTTGATAAAAATAGTTATTTGAACGTTTGAATACTTTCATTTATATATGTAAATGAACGTGATAGTCTGTTTTTATATTAAAAATACATTATAAAAATTCGAATTCTATCTCTTCTAGGTGTATATTTTGTTGTGTGTTCGTGGCGATCATTTGGTCAAATCAACAGACAAGTCAAAATTAAAGGAGCCGTTCATATTATGTTTTTCACAAAAGCAGTGAATTGTGAACTCTGTGTAACTGTACCAAACTTGCTAGCTATGTGTGAACTAGCTATATTTTATACTTTATACTAGCGAGGTTGTGATCTTGCTAGCTGGACAATCGTCGACGGTTGGCAATAATAAAGTTGTATCACTTCTGTACTGATTCTGTCAAAAGATCAAGCCAACAAGGTATTGTATATCAAATTTTACAAATATGTAGGTTGTATGTAAATTAGAAAATTGTCAATAAAAATAGTTATATATATATTTATTATATTACAGTAAAATGATTATTGATATTGTTATTATTTAATTATGGGAATATGATATGCAGTAATTATTAGTTAAGCCGTGTATAAAAGAACCAGTGAATTTTGACTTCAGGCTGAAGTGGTTCGTATATTGTCTTACTTCACACTATACTTTTTTATATTCAACACATTGCATTTTGGGTGCTCAATTGCCCAAATTTCAGGCTAGTGGTTCCTAACCTACTGGTTCTTTTATGCAAGGGCAAGGCTTTACTGTAATGTCTGTATATCAAATCAATAGACCTTATGCATAATGACGTCTTAAGGCTTGATGGCCAGGAAAATTTCAATAGTGGCCATTTTGGATTGTTTAATTTTCCTGGGCGATTACTAAAGTCCTGGGCAAACTAGGAAACGTTGTTGCGGACGAACAGGGTGGACGAACATGGTGGGCGAACAGGGAAACGTCTGAGGAAACATCGAGAATTACAAATGTTTCTGCAACGTTTCCTAGTTTGCCCATAGCTTAAGACCAGCATTCCTCGCAGGCATCAAGCCTCGTCACATCATTATGCATAAGGTCAAATGAGCAGTATGATGTCCAAATTGTAACACACAATTGTACACGAATGAAAGATTATTTGACTTTTTTCCATAATGCTCACAATTTCTTATTATATAGTTTTACAGTTCTGACTGAGTACAATCTTAGTATCAAGTCAATCATTTATAAAAAGAATGGTGTCATATGAAGCTGACATATTAAACAATTGCAATCTTAATCATTTACACAATGAGTGGTGTCATATGAAGCTGACGTATTAAACAAAAATGTCAACAAAATAGATTTTGTCTCCCCATCGGCAGATTGTTCTGTTGTTCTGCGGTAGTGTTAGTTTTGAAAGTACCATTAAAATGATAATTGAGGCAAAAACTGACTTACTGGTAGTATTTCTATGTATGAAATTGTTATTAAATTCTGCATAACAAATGATTAATTTAAGTATTAATTATTATCATTTGTTATATATGATATTGTACAATATTCAGTGGCAAGCTAGCCATGGCAACTGGTTATGATATGCCAATAAACCTGCATCAATTTGAATAATGCAAATCATTAAAAACTTGCATAGCATGACCTGTAGACTTTCACAAAGTCCTTCATCTTTGTTTAGAACGAAGGAATTTTCAAGGAAGTAATTTCTTGAAGAGTAGGGAATTTGTGGAAGTCAATACAATTGGAATATTTAGCTGAGCTTCGATTTTGTGCAAAGTGTTTTCATATTCAGATTGCACTTTTTCTACCACCTGAACAGGTGTCTTAGGGGTGCTTTTCGTGTTTATGTGATGAAAGGGGGGGGGGAGGCAGCACTTTCCTTGCGATAGTAATTTCTAGTTTCTAGTTTCTAGTTTAGCCAAAGCAATCTCAATTTGTTTGTCGTTCGTTCGTTCGATCATTCGGGACGCATTTTCTGACGTCACAGTAGAATGACAAATTTATATACGCAGGAAGGTTACGATGACAATCCGATCGCTTCCGAAAGCTGTGTTCGGTGCACCGTAACTTCATAGGAGCTATGACATTTAATTTTGACATCATATCGCATATTTTTCCATTGCACGAGGCTGTGACACTATTTATACTATTTCACGGATTTTGGAGGAAAAGAGTTTATATTTTTGAAGGTATGTCGATAAAAATAGTTATTTGAACTGTAAATGACGTGTAGTCTGTGTTTAATACATTCTAAAAATTCGTTTTAAACATTTGCATTGTGAGTTGGGAATTCGGAATTCAATGATCTATATCATATTAATAAAGTGATATGGGACCACATTTTTATGTTGTTTGTCGTCTGCGAAGACTCCCAGACCTATGGTAGACTTTTAATTATTTGTATAAAAGATGGCCCGCAAATCAACTCATATTAATAAAGTGATATGGGACCACATTTTTATGTTGTTTGTCGTTTGCGAAGACTCCCATACGACTTTTAATTATTTGTATAAAAGATGGCCTGCAGAATTTTAAATATCTAGCAGTGAATTGTAATCTGTCAGTTCACACTTCACAGATAACATTATTTTATAATATAAAGACTAATAAAGTCAGTCATGTGAGTATGAGTGTGGCAGTATAGATTATTGAGACTTGACACTATTATCCTGCCCATGTTGCACCTTCCACCTCGCAGGGAGATTCCTCTGTTGGCAGGTGCATATTTTTAATTGTATAGTAATGTTTTACAAACTAAAGTAAACCCTATTGTTTGTTTTTAGGTTATAATCTGGCACTACCGTACATCAGTGTTAAGATCCTTGGAGCCATTGTGTTCGCGCTGATCAATATTTGGCAGATCAGACATTCAATTACAAGTGTGACTTGTACTATTCAATACTATTCAAACCAAGCGAAGTATTTGCTCGCTTACAAATATATTATTAGACGTGATTTGCGTCTAAAAATCAAACTTTTTACAAGGCGTGATTTGCGTCTATACAACAAAGTTGAACACTAACTTTATACAAGGCGTGGTTTGCGTCTATACAACAAACAACAAACTTTATAGTTTATACAAGGTGTGGTTTGCATCTATTGACACTGACAATATAAATGGGAGAAACAATTGAGCAATACCGTGCCCGCATTGGAACACACAATAATATAAAAAGATGTCCAAGTCGACTTAAAGTTGACTTTTCTGACATAATGCTGGCGGTTTTTCAACTGCTTAAAACAAATCTTATGTTATTGATATTAATGCAGATACTCTATCTAAGTATTTTTTATGTAACAGCAAATACAGAATGTACTAAACATTTATGTGAAATGGCAGTGTCATTCAATCAAATGTCATGCAACAATGTTTATGTCCCATTGTTATTGAGAATGGCAAATGACGTTGAAGAAAATCCTGGACCCACAATATATGATGTGGTTGACCCAACTCAAACAGTATGTGCTGGTTTCAGCCAAGGTGATACAAGAAAATTTAGGTAAAATGCTGGTAAACAATGTTTAGCCATGTCCTTGACCGCAATAATACATAGTCATATATTAGATGTTGATACTTGGGATACATCATTGTTGAACCACATACTGTATGCAGGAAATGATCTGTATACTTTCATAAGCAACTCTGTTAAAAAGAGCTACTTATTGTTAACTGATGTTCCAGAGATGGTTTCAGTATTTGACAAAATTTATCACTTAGAATACAGTGACTCATTGGCTGGAGATCTATTTATAGAAAATACCAATTTACCTTATTACTCTTTGGAACATGCTCTTCGTGATTTGTTTTATGGTTCACAATTAAGTTATCAACATTGTATGTTGACAATAAACTGTAATACTATTGCAATTTTTAAAACTTCTGATGTGAATTTTAAAATTTTTGATTCTCATTCAAGGGATTCCTATGGTATACTGCATCCATTTGGAAAATGTGTGTCAATTTCTGTTGAAGGTATAGATAACCTTATAATTTATTTACAAAATACTGTTCCCAGAGGGGATGATGTACCATTTGAAATCAAAGGGGTAACTGTTGAGTTAGCAAATTGTGAGATTGGCAAAGAAACTGGTATTGCAATTTTATCAGGAAAAGTTGCAAATAAAAGACTGGAAACAGCTAGAAATTATAAAAAAAATAAGCGGGCAGTAGAGACTGAAGCTGCAAGGGAGATCAGACTTGAATCTGATAGGAAATATCATGAATTAAAAAAAGCAAGAGAAATTGACCTTGCAAGAAAAAGGAGACTCGAAAACAATAAAAATTGTCATAAATTGAAAAGAGCAGTAGAAACTGAAACTGAAAAGGAAATTAGACTTGAAAATGATAGAAAATGTCATAAATTTAGAAAAGCAGTAGAAACTGAAACTGAAAAGGAAATTAGACTTGAAAATGATAGAAATTGTCATAAATTTAAAAAAGCAGTAGAAACTGAAACTGAAAAGAAAATTAGACTTGAAAATGATAGAAATTGTCATAAGTTGAAAAAAGCAGTAGAAACTGGAACCGAAAAGGAAATTAGACTTGAAAATGATAGAAATTGTCATAAATTTAAAAAAGCAGTAGAAACTGAAAGTGAAAGACAGCTACGGTTGAAAAATGATCGGGAATATAGAAGGAAAAAACGAGCAAATGAAACTACTGTAGAAAAACAAGCTAAGAAAAGAAAATTGTCAGATAAGTCTGAATTAAATATCTGTCCTCTATCTAGGCAAGGCAGTTCAATAATTGACAGCGAAATTCCAAGTCAAGAGAATTATTTGAAAGAGTTTGATTCAATCAAAAATGGAAGTATTCATGAACAAATGTGGGCAAAAGCTAATATTAAGAAATTTCATAAATCTGTTGAATTTTTCATAAGTAAATGTTCAATTTGTCATGAGGCATGGCCTCTTAAATCTAAACCAAGATCATGTACTGGTTATGTATGTTCACAATGTTGTAGGGATAAAAAATCTCCTAAAAAATTTTCGTCTGAAAATTCGATGATCCCTTCTTCAGTTCCACAGCAGTTAAAAGATTTGACTCAAGTTGAGGAAATGTTGATTGCACGAGCTCTTCCAATCATGAGAGTTTATATCAAACCTGGTGGACAACGAGGCTACTCAGGCCATTGCATCAACCTGCCACAAAATGTAAAAGAACTGGCAACATCATTGCCAAGATATCCAAAAGAATTGTCTGTGATTATTGTCAAGGCTAAAGGTAAAAATGACACATTTAAAGATGTTACTGTAAGGAAACAAAAAGTACATAAAGCGTTATTGTGGCTAATACAAAATAATCCATATTATTCTGACTTACAAGTTAATGAAGATGCATTAAACTTATTACCTGAGAATGGTGTACCACCAGACCTTATGACTGTTGAGACTGATGACGATATAGTCTCAGATGATAACTGTTCTCCTGATGTAGGTCCTCCTACTGATAACCCAACAGAGGATATTGTGTATAATGACTCTACTGAAATGAGTAGTTTTCTACCTGTTGGTGAACAACAACAACAGGAGATAGAAGCTGTTAGAAATCAGCTTACTGAAAATGACCCAATGCAATGGCCCTCAGTTGAAAATGAACCTTTAAACGAGTATCAGATATCACATCTAGCTACTATGGCTTTCCCAACATTATTTCCTGATGGAAAAGGTGACCCTACTAACTCAGGTATATTGAGGGATGTCCCTCTCCAAGAACGAGTAAAGCATCTTTTAAAATTTGCTGAAATGATTGATGGTAAATGGGTATACCGTTTTGCTAGCCATCCTAGATTTTCTTATTGGGCTTTTAACATGATTCAAAGAAAGCGAATTTTTCAGCAAAGTGGAATATTCCTTAAACAAAATCCAGGTGAAGCTCATCTCACAATTGATGAACTGCGAGAAATGGCTGCCAGTAACAATGCTAATGTATTTATGTCTAAAGTATCTAGATATGTCGGTAATATTGCTGGAACAAATGCTTACTGGAATAAAGTAAGAGAGGAACTCAAAGCTATCATAACTAGTGTTGGAGCACCAACATTATTTTTCACTTTTTCCTCTGCAGATATGCATTGGCCTGAATTACATGCTTTATTTAAAGCTGATGGTGACATTGCTGATTCTACTAGTGATGTAAGACGACAAAATGTAATTAACAACCCCCATATTGTAGATTGGTTTTTTACCCAAAGATTAGAAAGCTTTGTAAAACACTGGCTTTATAATACACTTGGTGCAAAATGGCACTGGTTTAGATATGAATACCAAGGTAGAGGTAGTATCCATTGTCATGGTACTGCTAAACTAAATAATGACCCAGGTTTATGTCAACTTACTCAGACTGCTCTGAAAGGGTTTCTAGCTCAGAAATTTAAGGATGAAAATGATTGTTCAGATACAACAGAACTAGATCAGGATATTGAAGCTGGTAAGAGAGCTGCTGACACAGCATGTCAGTATGTTGATTGGTTATTGTCGACTGTCAGTCCTAACCCACCAGATCAAGACATGTGGATTAGACCACAAGTCCACCCATGTCAG